TCGAAAATGTTACCAACTATTACTTTCGGTATGAAAAAGTATTGATTTTATTTTTGTATTTTTTATAGAAGTTGCTATTTGACATGGAATCAGAGGAAAAACTCTTGGATAAGAGTAAATAAAAGTATTACTCTTTCGTGTTCGTTTGTTTTTCTTCTTTGCTTTTCTTACGAAGATGCTTTATTTATTTTGATTTTATTTTTTTTATGTTTTATCGAAGTTGCTATTTGACATGGAATCAGAGGAAAGACTCTTGAATAAGAGTAAATAAAAGTATTACTCTTTCGTGTTGGTTTGTTTTCCTTCTTTGCTTTTCTTACTAAGACGCTAGTAAGATGCTACTATTTATCAACTGTTTAATCAGAAGGAAACATGTAGTTTTTTTTCTAATCAATGCTTTTTGTTTTTCATACCATTAATCAACCCCCAAAAGAGCCGGCGTCACTCTTCCTTAACATTTCAAGATGATTTTCTTCGCAAAATATTCCACTAGTAAAAAAAATAAAAATAAATGACTTAAATGAAAATACACAAAAAGTGTGTTTTTTTTTTACTTCAGAACTAGTTCATTAAAAGCTGRCACATAGCACTRTGCCTATTTTATTTGATAACATTTTTCACACCCACATCTTTTACTTTTTTCCGGCTATTTTCTTCAGGCTATTGAAATATCCAAACAAGACAAAATCGGTTAATAACTCCTAAAATTCATAATTTTGGTTCTTTACAAAAAGGTTTTCCATTAGTAAACTTAGTGAAWAGCGCAACTTTAAAATGATTTATTTGCATTTCAAAAGGTAAATTTTTGATCATTATTCTTATAATTTTCTGTCACACGTTCGTGATAGTATTTGTTTTATCCCATCAAGTCACACGTCTTAATTATTTCCTATATTTCCGTGAATAATTACGGATTAAAAACAAGACTACACACGGTAATAATTCCATGCTTCGAATGCATTTTTGTTTATTTTTTWAATGTTTTCAGGTTATTTCTACTTGGAAACCCAACGAAGACAGTTTTGTATTGCGTAGGTGCTCAGAAGAGATAAGCAGGCCTTCAAGATTGTACTGAGATAACAATCACTGTTAGCCCAGTCCATAGCCTTAGCTCTCTCGGTTTACCTGTGTAGTGGAAAGAAACTTGAGGAGGAAGAAACGGCTAAAAACACGAAGGAAGGAAGGAAGGAAGGACGAGGGAAACAGCATAAAATATACATCGAAGAGCGAGAAACAGCGGAAAAATGTAGGGAGAAGGTAGAAAATCATTATTGTCCAATTTAATTAATTTTTAATTAATTTTTAGTTTGTTTGCAAGAGGAGAAACGGTTGAAAAAATTAAAGAAGGGAGAAAATGGCATAATGAAAATTAGGAAGAGAAAATATATTTAAATGCCTGTTYCTCTTTGGTTTCTTTTCTTTTTCTCTCTGCCAGCATTGTCCAAAGTAAACAACGGAACCTTGAATTCAAAATTGAGGAAATCCGATTACACCAACAAGAACTGAGAATACCATAACGAAATAATATTCTATAAACGATTCATCAAACGAAGTTGCGCTATTCACTAAGTTTACTAATGGAAAAACTTTTTGTAAAGAGCCAAATTATGAATTTTAGGAGTTATTAACCGATTTTSTCTTGTTTGGATATTTCAATAGCCTGAAGAAAATAGCCGGAAAAAGTAAAAGATGTGGGCGCGAAAAATGTTATCAAACGAAAACACACTCAATTTTGTGCAAAATATTTATCTACTAAAAGAGCTAACGAGATT